GGGCTTTAAGGTTTAGGCTTTAGGGCGTACCTTCACACCCCCCCCAAAAAAAAAGAAGTAATAATGATAAATAAATAAATACTGTAAGGGTTCAGTATAACTGGGAGGGGGCCGGTCTTTTACATCAGAATCGGTTTTGGGGCTTGGGGGTTATGCTAGAGGATCCCAACGGGATAGTGTTGGTACTTACCTACCCAGCCAGAGAACCTTAACTCTCCTTTTGGGCCCAAAAACCATACTATCTAAGGCTTTTGGGCTGTTTTGAGCCTTATAAGGGAATGCCAAGCCACGGTAGGAGAAAGTGTGGCCGCCGCTATGCCGCTGAAGAGCTGCAGAGCGAGTTGCCATTCACCGGCCCTCTTGCATGCACTGATGGTGGCGTTGAAGCCTAAGATCTGATCTCGACAGCAGAACTTTCTCTAACTAAAACCAAATTTGGGGAATAGGAACCAGTGAACAGTTTAGGGTTTAGGGTTTGGGGTTTAGGGTTTAGGGTTGAGGGTTTGGGGTTTAGGAATCAGTGACAAGCCAGGAAGCCAGACCCAGATCTTCGACTAGTATTTTCATATAAAGGAAGAGACCTTGAATGATACAAGCATCCCTGATACGGTTTACGGAGTATTTTGAAGATCTCGGGCTACAACCCTAAATCCTAAACGCCCTAAAGCCCAAACCCCCTAAACTCCTTACCAGGAAGCTCCAAGTACCTTCTGATTCGGATCCGCCACAGCTTGATCCCCGAAACCCCCTACCGACGGCTCCAGCGACCCAGTTCTTCTTAGAACAACTGCCTAAACCCTAAACCCCTAAACCCTAAACCCTGAACCCTAAACCCCTAACCCCTAAATCCCTAAACCCCTAACCCCTAAACCCCTAAACCCTAAACCCAGTGCTTCTTAGAACCCCCAAAGCCTCCCCCCCCCCCAGCCCTAGAGTCACGGCCGGGTCTCCAGAAGGCTGAATCGCAGAAGCAAAATTTAGGGTTTAGGGTTTGGGGTTTGGGGTTTACGGCTTGGGAATTTAGGGTTTAGGGTTTAGGGTTTGGGGTGTAGGGGTAAGCGCTCGAGCTCCAAGTACACGAACTTCGCGAGTAATACCCTGTTTTGGAGTCTACGCGCTGTACATAGTACCTACTGTTTGGATGCGAGAGCCCCAAAGCCACCCTGACATGCGTCTTGGTTGGGTTGGAGCAGCGAAGCAGAAAGTAGACACATGTGACACGAACGAAACTCCGCCAACAAACCTTAGCCCCTTCACCGACAACCACGCACTAAACCTCTATACTTTATGGCAACCCCTCTAAAGAAGCTAACTCTACTACCCCCCCCCAACCCTAAACCTTAACGCAACTAATCGAAGCAAGCCAGGAGCTGATCGTATCGGGCCTCAAAGCTCTTGTAGCCATGGAGTGGAAGACGTCCAATGCCAGTTGCCAGCGGCCGCCCTTCATTTGCAACCAAGGGTCGAAGGGTACACGTTTAAGTAGTTTAAACCCGAGGCTTCCAAGGACCTTATAGTTAGGGCGGCCCTAGACCCCTTAAGGACCCAATAATAAGGTCCCTGGAAGCATAGGGTAAGTTTAGCACTTAGGTGGATTGAGTGTTTAGCGCGCTAGGGTTTGTGCATAGTCGTTTCAAGCCTTCTGGGTTAGGGTGCGGGGGATACCTCATTCGTTCAGTAGGCTCGGGCGTAAGGCTTCGAAGTTAGGGTGCAGGGCATAAAGAGGGTATCGGTTTACGGCTTCCTAGGATTATTTGAGCAACCAGTTCACCCTAAGGCTCTTATTCTAAGGCTTTTGGGCCCAAAGACCATACTTCGGTTGATGATATAAACCTTGCATTACCCATAATAAGGAATCTACCCTAATTCCCATAGTTTAGGGTCCTTAAAGGTAATGCAGGATTTATATCATCAACAGAATGTAAGGCTTTTGGGCTATGTTGAGCCTTCGGGTCATTATTCTCTTGGTGTTGTTTGACAGCAACCAAGCCTTATCACAGGAGCTGATGGTCGCGTTGTAGACAATGTCGTCGGGAGTGAGTTTGGAAGTGCACCTGGGCTGCCCCCCCCAGAGCCTCTGAAGAAGATATTCGTAGAGAAGATGCTCTTAAGCCCAAGAAGGGAAAGTATAAAATATCCCTAAACCCTAAACCTCAAAACCCTAAACCCTTTCCTTAGGCACATGGTGTTGAAGAGACCCAGGGCGAAGTTCCACTGGCTCCCCTTCTCGCAGCAGCTGATCGCCCTTACTTGTCCAGTTTGGGGTTTAAGGTTGAGGGTCCTAAGGGATCTAGAGGTTAACGCCCGTTGGACTATCCTGAAGTTTGACTACCCAAAGCACTTGCTCGACCGCGAAGTGTCGAACTGTAGCTGATAATGTCTGGCGCCGTGTGGGCCTTCGGCATAACATCGAACAGCTGAAGACCCACTTGCCACTGCCTCCCTTTTTCGCAGGCACTCATCGTGGCATTGTAGTGAATGACGCTGGGCTCGATGCTGGCTTCTGGTAACCTAGGTGTTGAGCTCGCCGGGCTCAAACAATTCCATATTTCGATTCTGATAGGCCGATAGGCATATATATATATATATATGTACATAAAGAAACATGTATGCAAACATACCAAGCATACATACCTGAAATAACAGTGAACCTAAAACCGTAATTCATGGAATCGCCAGCATCTCAAAACCTGCGCCCCTGCTTCCAACCAGTACTGCGGACCTTAAGGACGAAATGGACCCTAAAAGGGTTTAAGATTCAAATATTATAGGAATTCATAGTATAAGGGTATAGGGCCCTTACTTTTAAGGGTCATTTCGTCCTCAAGGGGGGTGGAAAGGCTACAGTTCGTGGGCGCTGCACAGTGAAGCCTCTGGCACGTCGCGGCCAGGGCATGTGTCACTAGACACATAATCCCTAAACCCTTAAACCCCTGAACCCTAAACCCCTAAACCCTAAAAGTAGAGCAGTTTCGGGAAATGTTCATGTCTTGTGCCCTCGATTACGACTTCTTTTCCAGGATAAGGGGGATCAAGGGACCCAGGGAGCAGGCTGGAGGAAATCTGGGTTCTTGTTAGGGGATCAGGGTTAATTATTGGGGTTTAGGGGTTTAGGGTTTATTGGGGTTCTTGTTAGGGGATTTATTTAAGTTAAACCATAACAACGAAACCATATTATTTACTATAGATCCTCACTATGGCAACTTAAATAACATCCCCAAAGAAGAACCCAGGAAAGGGGGGACAGTGAACCGATAGTTTTCTGCTCCGAGGTTGTCATTTCAGAAGATAGGACCTCAACCCTAAGCCCTTATACACCCTAAACCCGTAAATGATCCCTAAACCCGAAACTGCTAAAAGCCTAAGCCCTCGTGGGTTAGGTTACTTGGAGCAGGACTTAGCAAGTCGGTTATAAGTAGGGTTATAACTAGGGCAACTCCATTTAAGGTACTTATAACTCTACTTATAACCCACTAAGTCCCCAGGGCCTCCAAGTAGGGAGCTGGGCCGGGGCTTTTCAGGGTTTAGGGCTTCGGAGGTGTTCGGTGTGTTTTGCGGATCCGATCCTTGGGTTCCGGCTGGGTGCTGCAAGCTTTCGAAGGGTAGGAATCTGGGTTTAGGGTGGGGTTCAGGGTTTATGGGGCTTAGAGTTTACGGTTTAGGGTTTAGGGATTGGGGTTAAGGGTTTAGGGGGAGAAACCCTGGCCCTGTCAACCCCCCCCCAAAACACCAGGATTCACACAAAGAGCCCTCATAGAGACCCAGGGTTTCTCAACCAGGTTACTATGTTATGCCGTGCCTCTGGCACCAAGCAGAAAACCTGATGACTCAGGCCTGCATTGCCGCTGACGCCTCGAGGATCCACGGCTGAAAGCTCCTGGCAGAGTGCAAAGCAGAACATGACAGCGGGCTTCGTAGGGCTTAGCACGGTCTTCAGAGTTTAACCATGGGATTCAGCAATTAACCCTCCCCCCCTCTGTCCGGACCCTTTCCGGAAGGCTTAATCGGAGAGCTTCCCATCCGCTTAAAAAAGACCGCCACAGTAAGGATTCTTGCAAGCTATATGGCTGATGATATAAACCCTGCATTACCCAGAATAAGGAATATACAATCATTCCCATAGTTTAGGGTCCTTAAGGTACTGCAGGACTTATGAATCTCAGATCGGCTCCTTGCTTTAATCTCCCTCTAAGCCTTTAACTAGACGTTAACTCTGGAGCCAGAATAGAAAAGGTTCCTGCTTATGGTATTGTAGGCGCCTTAACAATTTGAATAGGGTTTTGGGGGTTCCTTTTATAGAGTTCTTGCATAATATACCCCCAAACCCTATTCTAATTATTCAGGCCCCTACATCATAGAACCCAATATAGAACCCCTGTTATAGAACCCCTGTTATAGAACCCTTATATACCCTTATATTCCCCCCCCAAACCCTATTCTAATTATTAAGGCCCCTATATTATTGGGTCGTTTTCTATTCGCCAGGAACCTAGGACCACTAAAAGGGGCTCCCCGGGAAGGCCTATGAAATAATTCCCCAACTTGGACCTGGGCTGCGTCAGTTCCTCATTTCAGGGGTCCTCCCAGTGTAGACTTGACGGTTTAGGGTTTAGGAGGGGGTTCCTTTTTGGGATTACCTTATAGGGTTCTAAATATGAACCACAAAAAGGAACTACTTAGGAGCCTATGGGTTCAATTTGCCTAGGTTTCCTATAAATCCGAAGCTGTGGACCAGACATTCTGGAACCTGGAGCACAACCATTTCCAAAACCAGCACAACCCCCGTGTACAACCCCGTATACCTCAACCTGAACCCCCCAACCAAAATCCCTAAACCCTAAACCCTCATGGGCTATTAAGGGGCCAGGCCTATGAGCCCAATGAACCCCCGACCAAAATCCCTTATCACACTCCTGAAGGGACCCTTTACAGCCTTTTTTCCCTAAACCCTGAACCCTAAACCCTAAACCCTAAAACCTGAACCCTAAACCCTGAACCCTAAACCCTGAACCCTAAACCCCACAATCCCTTATCACACTCCTGAATGGACCCTTTACAGGCTTCTTTACCCAAAACCCAAAACCCAAAACCCTAAACCCTGAACCCTAAACCCTAAACCCTGAACCCTAAACCCTGAACCCTGAACCCTAAACCCTGAACTCTAAACGGCAACAGCCCTTCGTTGTCCGGCGCGGATCCTTGAGAGCCAGGTAGCCAAGAGTGCCGGTGCGGTAATTCCTGAACGAGAGCACTATACGGATTAGTACCCTTAACCCCAAAAACCCTCAACCCTGATCCCTTTATGGAAAGCCCTGGAGGAAACCTTTCAGATACTACCTAGAGACTCCACAACCCCGTAATTAAGGAATATACGTGCAATCTTAGTAGGGTTCTTATTATCATTTGAGGGTATATTCCTTAATTAAGGGGTTTTGGAGTCTCTGGGTAATTAGAGTTCTGTCAGGATTCTGCAGCTTTCGGGGCCTGAATGAAGCGGGTCGGTTCGCACTGCTCATCAAAACTCGGGTATACTTGGGAAATATTCTTGTAGTAATGCGGTATAGAGAGATGGTCAATTCGAAAAAGTTGTTGGGGCACAATACCGGTTACCGTATCACCGCATGGAGCAACCATAAGGAATGACATTACGCATTAAAACACTAGGTAGATCCCTAAAGCCGTAGAGCTTGAAACAAGAAACAGCTGTTGTGATGTCCTTTCTATATATACTGTCAGCTAAATGATATATATATATATATATTGTGACACGAAACGTATACAAACGCGATGTAAACCTTTGTCGAACACTGAAAGTTTTTTTAGTTCAACCCCTATGCCATCTTATTACACCCATGTAAGACCGTGGAACACCAGAACGAAGTCTTGCAATGGCTTCTCGACGCAGCACTTAACTCGCCCAGCGTCATGGCCACGAGGACGCAGGGGTGGCGGCGGACGATATTCTCGATTGGCCCGTAGAATTCCGAGATCCTGGGCTAATTTTGCCCTGTAGAGCTGGGAGTCGGAAATGATTTTTGTGGTAGGTTTCATTACGAAGTGTTGATTTCAGCAGTCCCCAAAACTTTTTGAAATCAAGGCTCTAGATTCAACAATAAGGGAAACTAACGATTCTCTCAAATGGATACCTAGTTTAGGGTCCACCTGTGTTTCTTTGGGGCGCTGAAGTAAGCCCTAAACCCCTAAACCCTAAACCCCTGAACCCCTAAACCCGCTAAAACCCTAAACCCCTAAAGCCCAAACCCTAAGTTGTAGTATATCATAAACCCAAATCCCAAAAATCGCAGCCCAGGATCGCCTCGATCCCCTGAAGCCCCTCCAGCACCCAAAGCGCTGGAGCAAAAAGGTGAGTTGAGAATGGGTTTAGGGTTGGAGGGTTTGGGGTTTAGGGTTGTAGGGTTTTAGGGTTTAGGATTTAGGGATTTAGGGGCTTAGGGCTTAGGGCTTAGGGGTTTAGGGGTTTTTAGGGTTTAGGGTTTAGTTGAGAATGGGTGCCCCACCAAAACCTCCGGCACTTCTCTGGCCTGAAAGGGTTTCGGGCTTCCAAGCATAAGATTCATACTGTCGATGATATAAACCCTGCATTATCCACAATAAGGCTTGTACCATAATTCCCATAGTTTAGGGTCCCCATAATAAGGAGTATACCATAAAATCCTATAGTTCATGCTCCTTAAGGTAATGCGAAGGACTTATATCATCAACCGTATGGTGCAGCCTGAAGGATGTCCCCGAAAGGTTCCTCCTCCCCCCCCGGGTTTAGGGTTTAGGGTTTTGGGTTTAGGGTTTAGCGCAAACCTGAAACCCTCCACCCCGGTTCGTCGTAAGGCTCGCCGATCCCTGCACGTTGGAGCCGCCGTAGATCCACCTTGCTCTGTTACTCACTCAGGTTGAGACGTTTTAGGTTTGAGGGTTCAGGGTTTTGTCAGTCCGTTTGGCGCTTGAAGGAAGTTCATACAATACAACGTAGAGTTCAAAGGGCACAATCACTCAACTGAGCTGCTTTCATATCCAAGCCGGTTGCGGCTCGTACGGGAGGCGTGCTTTTGGCCATGGGGTGAACCGAAGGTCGAGATGCGAAAGCATGCGACAGTCTTGCGAGGCCCAACTTCAGCTTGAGAATCTAAACCCATAAACCCTCAAACCTAAACAAAAGCCTAAGCCCTGCCCAAAGTGAACCCATAGCCATAACCCTGGAACACACACACACACAACTGAAACTGTAAACCGAAACCTCCTAACACAGAAACAAATCTTAAGCCTTGATGCAAAGCCACACGAAGACAGGCAGGTTTCGTGCTTTGGCTGGAGCAAAGACGTTCAAGTTGAGGCAGTCCTGAAACAGAATGTTTCCCTAAACCCTAAACGGTTCAAGCAATCGCGGCTGAAGCTACTATAAAGGCTTTGTAAGGGTTCCTTGAAGATTACGATCAGGGCCCTAAAC